TGTACTGTTTCTCATGAAGAACTTTGTTTTGAGAGGCGTCTTTTAACAAATTTTTAACAATTCTTGTAATTTTCTGTATAAGATGGATAAATGGCTAGATGGAAAGATGGATAGATAGAAGGATGCACAGATACATAGGTTGATAGATAGATGTTCAATTTAACATTATTGACCTGATAATATGGAAGAAGCCATGTGAGTTTTAGATTATGAGCTATTAATTATATACTTCCTGACATTAGGAGATGTTAATTCTAGTAGATAAGTCATTTATATAAATGAGTGATTGTAATAATTGGCAGTGTGATACAAGTTATAAGAGTAACAAGCAAAATATTCCATAGAAATTAATTCCATGAGAATTTCTTAGAGATTGCATTTTGAACTGACTTGTAAGAGTGGATGTTATTTTGTCAAGGTGCCATATATAGTTGTATATGTCAGGAACAATGGCAGAAAAGGCTAAAAGTGGATGACTACAGAGCATGTTTTTCTGCAAGATAGAGGACATGAGTAAGAGTAGTAGGGTGGAGTTTAAACTCAATTGATGGGGACCAGATATTTAATGCTAAGTTAAAGTGTTTGAACTTTATCTTCTATTAAAAATAATATTTTGATAAGATGGAGAAGGCGGTAAGAGAAATAGATAAATGAAGGTGATTTACCAAATGGCTAATGTCATGGAGTCAGAGATGGGACAGAGGAAGGGTCTATATTGTCACTTCTTCTCCTTGGAAGACACATTCTGCCCTTCTTTTGAATGCTGCCGAAAGGGTTCCTTTTTTCATGCACTGGAAACATCTGCATCATTGATTCAGGGCACAGTTTTGGGAAATCAACAATTCTATCCCTTGGGAAGGGGAGTTGTGGTGATATACATAATTTTGATTGAAGCAGATATTTGAAGAAAACCTCTTTTAGTGATTATCAACAATTACCTTTCTCTGCAAAAGTAGACTTATAATTAATGATATTTTTATCTGAAAATATTTTTTCTCACTTAAGATACAGGTTCAAAAGTTCAGTATTTGCCTATTCACAGCAAAAGCAAATTGGAGAGCAATAACAAACTGAAAAATTGAGGTCAAATTGTAAAATTAATTTAATTCGTGTTTTCATAGAAGCCTAACTCAACTTCTGTATATATGTCAGTTACAAAATATTGCAAAGAATTTAAATGGTAAAACTAATGATTTAATGGTCAAAAATATATATCAAAATTCTGCAATAAAAAGAGAACTTAAACAACCTAGGAGGTTAAACAATGTTGCCCCACACTACCTCTGCTCTGTTGGCCCCTATACTTGTACTTCTAGCTAATGACTTGGAGCAAATGAAGCCACTTAAACAAGTCCTTGTAAAATTGAAGACATTTTATATATAATACTGACCATCGCAATCCATCACTAAAAGCAGAGATTCCACTAGACTAGTTGTGTGAACAAGGTATTTTTCCTTTGCTTCTGTAGGAGTGTGTGGTCTTGAGTATGATATCAGCAAACTAATAATTCCCATTTTAATGAAATATAAAAAAATTGACTCCTGGATATTTCTTAGTGCCATGAAGAAAACTACTGATTAGTAACTACAGCAGGCAGTAGTCAGATCACAGTGTGCCATTAGTAGGACCTCAGATTAACACCCATGTCTTGCTTTGTTACCTTGCAGAAATGTTGGAATCCAACAATGTGATCACTTTCAATGGCTTGGCCAACAGCTCCAGTTATCATACCTTCCTTTTGGATGAGGAACGGAGCAGGCTGTATGTTGGAGCAAAGGATCACATATTTTCATTCAACCTGGTTAATATCAAGGATTTTCAAAAGGTATCTTTATTCTAATATATGCATTATAGTTCTTTTGAAACATCTCAAATTATATAGAATTCTCTAGCTATATAAGTGTAACAACAGAAAAAATTGTTTAAATTAATAACTTATCTTTTCAGATGCAAATAAAAATAATGCATTGATTTGACTATCACAGAAAACCATAAAAATGGATGCAGAAAACCATAAAAATTCTCAAGGAAGAAACCATAGTATTTTCAATAATTTTTATAAGCAATACTAATTTAACTATTTTTCCATAGTTATATCATTTTCCCCGCATAAAAGTAAATACTTGAAGCATTATAGAAATGTAATTGATTTCATGTATTATGTATATATGTATGTTTGTATGTATATACTTTATGTGTGTACATATGTGTGTGTACATATTTAAATTTATACATCTGTCTACATTGCCAACAAATGCAGAGTTCATCAATCATTATACACATGCCTAATCTGGTATGTCAACTGTGTTTGTAAATAAGTTTATTGGAAAACAGACACTCACTCATTTACATAATGTCTATCTGCTCTCATTCTACAATGGCAGAATTGAGCAGTTGTGATAGAGATCATCTGGCTCACAAAGCCTAAAGTATTTACTATCTGGTCTTTTAAACAAAAAGTGTGCCAAACTCTGATCTGGAAGATTAATTTCTGGTGTCAAGTTTTTGCAAGCATGGTCACCTAGACTCTAATAGTCTATCAGTTTTATCCTTATTCTTACAGTATTTGTAACTTATTTACTTAATATATGATACATTTTGGAAAATAAACATGAATTGACAAATTAGTGGAAATCATGCTACTAAGTTTATATGCTGTAATCTAAGTCAGCCACTGTTTTGCAGTCGATATTTTTAGTCTTAATTCTATGAGGAACAAAAATTTTTGTGCAACAAGTTTTACAAGAATGCTAGTATTACATGCTTTTTGGAGTACGTACACTTCATTATTCATGCATGTTACTTTTACTTCTTAGGGTTTTAATGTGGTGTACCTAAAATTCTTATAAAACTGTAGAAGATTGGACAATAATTTTTAACATTTTCCATCTGCCCCAAGAATATTCACCAGCCATACTCGCAGCTGCAATGTTTATCCCAAGATAACTCGCGGATTATAGTCTTAAACTTACCCCCGAAACTTCGCCACAAAATATCTCGCTTGTACTATTATTTTTGCATCGCTCTAGTATATCAATAGTCTTTGGAAACAAATGACATTATTCTATTCAGAGAGTTCTGTTATATAGTGGTATTTTCATTTACAAAATATAGTAATTCTCGATTGCTGAAAATGTCAAATCTTGGAAAAAGTAGCATTCCTACGTGTGATGTTAACATCATTCTCAAACAGTTAGCTGAAGATTCATTTGATGAATTCGACTTATGTATACATTTCTGTTACATTCGGATTAGAGAGAGGTTCTGTTTAGAAATAACGCCATGAACAGTTTTTATACATATTTTTCACATCGAAAACCAGTCAGATTTGCTTCAGCCTCAAAGCTCTGCTTATGTAAAATAAATTAATATTGGCAGTAAGCTTTTTTTATTCTAAACAGGAAACAGGTTAAAAAAGTAACCTAATTATGTAAAAAGCTTTTGTTCTGTTTAGCAAATATTGCTTTTGAAATAAAATAAAGATTTAAATTAAAAGCTGAGTGACATCTCTAATAGAGTATACCACTAAACCTAAGACTTTTATTTTTCTTTGATTACCCAGACACTAAAATTCTATGTAAAAAGAGATTTGATTCATTATATATGGTCATATAAAATAGCAATGCCCTTATTGATATACTTTAAAATTAAAATATGGCATTTAAAAATTACCTTGGATATTTCTTTTCTGATAATTTAATCTATTTGATTTCTAAGCCAGCTCAGATGATAGCAGTATCCTAAGGTTATCTATTATCCAAGAAAACTGGTTATTCATTTGTTTTCCTGAAATGATAAAAAATATTTATCTTAGAGTCTTTTGTAAAAGTCACAAAATAAAGAGTTGTTTGTTATTGTTTTAGTAAAAGGAAATCATCTTTTACAAAATAAATGAAAAATCTAAGATGATTAAGTAAAATTTGATATTTTAATAATAGATTTGCAGTTCAAATTTTGAGTGTTTATAACATTTTTATTATTTTGTAACATTTTTATCATTTTGTAACACTTGTATATGTGAATATAAATATATGTGTATATATCTATATATCTATAGGTATGCAAAATATGAGCACATTTCACTTCAGAATATATATTAAATGTATTTAATATTTTTCTCTGAATAATATCCAATTTGTATATCCACTTGGTTCTAAAATTGAAAAGAACTAAATATCATATAAGACAACCTACTATTTTATAAAGGAGAAAAATCCTAGAGCAATTTGTATGCCCAAGATATATCATAGTACCTTCTACCAACTAGACTTCCAATAAATACATACGGAAAGAATGAATTAATCAAAGTTAGGTGACTTGCCCAGTATTATACTGTTCTTATAGCACCTACTTTTGAGTTTAAAATCATTATTCTAATAGAGGACATATGTCTAAGTTTTAAACATCCCATTCCAAACATATTATTTAATTTGAATTATATCACACTGTTTATATCAGTAAATTCAACTTACTTAAAGATTTACTTTTGGTTGTATACATTTGTCTATTAATGTGCTTTTTAACCTATATATAATGCTATTAAACAACTTTATCCCAGTCATCTACTATTGTGATAAACTCTAGAAGGGACATTGTAGTATGTCATAAATCTTGAGGAATTTACAAGGTGATATTAAAAATGCATGAACATAAAGGTAAATATTAGGCCAATGAAAAGACACATTCTCAGGCTTGGAAGGACCATGGAAATATTTTTCACCTTGATAAAGGGTGCAACATCTTTAAGGCATAACTGCTTATTAAATAATGAATTATGAGGAACTGCCATTAGTACAACCATAGAGGCATAAAACAAAGGAAACTGTAAAATAGGTCATGAAACACTTTGAATATGAGGATATGAAATTTAAGCATTGTTAGTTAACTGAGAAATTTTTGAGCAAAGAAGAAAAAATATCAATAGGTTATCAAAAAGTTAAGAATTATTCTTTGTGGAAATTGATACTGTTGGACAAGACAAATATATATATATATGTGTATACATATATATTTTTTCATTCCATTGATTTATGATTATCTTCATTAAATTGCTTTCTAAAAAAGCATTTTTATATCAAAATTATTTTACTAATGCCAGATTCTAAGTAGGAGAATTTAGCATGAATGTTATCAACTTAAATGATATTAATTATGCAACAATCAAGAAGTAAGAAACTATGAGAAAAACAACCTACCTTTTTGAATTAAAATATTATGTTTTAATAACATGATTTTTGCATGATTTTTAATTTTTGAATTAAAATATTATGTTTTAATAACATGATTTTTGCATGATTTTTAATTTTTGAATTAAAATATTATGTTTTAATAACATGATTTTTGGTAGAAGATTAATAACATAATCTTTCTGGAAAACTGAATAATTTTAGTGCTGCTAAATATTCTTATTGTTGTGTCTCAGAGAAAATTTATATTGGATTCACCTCCATTATAAACTTTGAAAAAGAATAGATCGTTTGGCCTTTCCATAGCTGGTATAAAGATGGGACTGTGGAACCTGTGGAATAGAATTGCAAGGTAATTGCTCTAGTGAGTTAGGGTGATAAGTGTAAGGACCTGCATTTATTATTCTTAGATGTTTCTTACTGTGACTACTTTGTAAAAACCGTGTGGAACAGGTCAAATAACAGTTTTAATTTAAACACACCAGAATACATGAGGAAAAAAATAAATGAAAGAGAAAAAAAATACGTAAATTAAGAGCTTCAAATGGTAAAAATTATATATATATCTCCAAAACTTTTTAGGGCTTTTATAATTGTTACGTAAACCTGAAATACTTTTGTTTTTGTCAGCATAAGTTATTGTTTAAATTATTGTTTATAATTGTGTTGTATTTTGCTTTTTAATTCCCTAGATTGAATATCAAAGCCTTTGTCCAAGTTTATGAACATTTATATTGAATTATCTAGAGATTCCCAAATGAATGATAATCAGTCATTTTGAGACTAAAAGCTTTTTAGCAGACAGGAATGATTAACTGCTCCCATCTCTGAGTTTTTCTTTTACATATGACATTTTTTCTAAAATTAAGTAATGTTACCAGAAGAGAAAGATGAATAATAATTTAAAAATTAAATTATTCTGCCCCAATACAGATAGGAGTCATTGGAATTGCTGAGAGAAATGTAAAATTTTATATTATAATTTAGATGAGGATATATTCATTTATATTATTGAGGGAAAATGTATCCACAGTTCTCTAAGCTACCAGTAACAATTGGGTTCATCTACCACTATCACTGTATTTATACAACATAGGAACCTTTGGAAGGATGAAGGCCAAATATTTGAGATGAAAACACAAATGATTATTTCTCAATGAGTCTGTTTTGCCTACAGTTGAGGGTGATTTTTTTAAGAGTTATCTATTTGCTTCTTTATTTCCTCCTTTATCTCCCAAAAGTAAGATAAAGCTACTCTTACCTATTTTCCCTGTCAAAAAAAGGAAGAAGAAGAAAAAGGAAAAAAAAAGATTCCTTTCTAAATGGATTTTTTTCTAACCTTATCAGTTATTCATTTTAGCATGTTGTGTCAGATTCGGATTAAGAAAATGAATCCAGAATATCTAATGTTCAGATTTCAAAATCACTATTTCACAGTAAAGACTGATTCATTTAGAAGGATGTAAGACATATTCTGTGCCAACTTATACCTCTCTTCAGTAAATTCTCACATCCTCTCAAGATGATCTCCCTCTCTCAATCTGCCTTACAGTTCTTTCTACCACACACTACTTAGATCTATAGGCAGACCTCAGCAACATTGCAGATTTGGTGTCAGACCACTATAACATAGTATCTCAATAAAGTGAGTTAAAATCTTTTTGGTGGTGGAGGGTCTTGCTTTCAGTTTGTAAAAAAACACAATACCTGTGAAGCATAATGAAGTGAAGCACAATAAAGCAAACTATGCCTGTACTGAGTACATGAATTTCTGTGTTGCTCAGCTTTCATATACAGCAAATCCTAACGGGTACAGGAGATTGAATGATTTAAGTTTGTATCAATTAACTATATCAATTAACTAATGCCACTGCATAGTCTAAACTGAAAGGTTCTTGCCATATAACGCTTATGGAGCTTTATCTCAGTTGACCTAAGTTGGTCTAACAGACTATAATGTTAGATCTAGTACCGAGAGAACTTAATTGGCATAAAATAATGTTTCTTTTCTGTCCTTAGATTGTATGGCCAGTGTCTTACACTAGAAGGGATGAATGCAAGTGGGCTGGGAAAGATATTTTGGTAAGTATCAATCTATTAAATTATTTTAGAAATTGTATAAAGTGATTTATTACTGTCATCATTTTCCTTGTGTTATAGTAAACACCGTGTTTTACTTGTGGATGTAATAACTCTTTAGAAATAAAATGATATTTAATTTTTGGATGTTGCTATTTTTATATAAAGCACTGATAGTTTTATGTAAAGAAAGTAGGTGAAATAATAGCATGCCTAAATAAAGCAAAATTATGATATCTTTGATATTTACATATACGCAAAAAGTAACAAAATTCAATTTTGTCGTGTATGTACTTATCTTCAATAAGTCTACTTCTTTGTACAGATTTGTTTTAATATGTTAATTCCTTTTGAATTTCTTTTGAATGATATGAAATTTTTCTACCTGAGTCATGATTAAATTACATCTCTGTCCTTCTTTCTATTCCTTTCCTTTTCCCTTCCTTCCTTTTTTGCTTATTATCTTCCCCCTTTTCCTCCCACCCTACTTCCCTTCTTTCCTTTCTTCTATCCTTCCTTTTAGTTATTCTTTAAATAAATATGGATTGAGAAATGATTATGTAACAGGCATTGTCCTGATTACTGTGGAGTAAAAGATGAAGGTTAAGAAATTCCTACAATGGTTTTACCATTTTTGGGAAAAGATAGAGGCCATTTTCCTGAGGTAAACTTTCTTAGTAAAATTAAGTGGCACTGGTTTGAGATATAGTCAAGTGTTAGCACAGATCATGAAAAGCAGTGATAATCATTTATATCAATAAATTAAAATGAATTACAAGATTTCAAAATATGATTATATTATTTTATATTCTATCAGATGCTTTTAGATGTCTAAAGCATAAGGAAATAAGATGAAAAATTTTGTCTATGTATTAGCATTTACAAGAAATTTATCCTATGTGCCTAAAGACATAAATCAGCCTGCATGTATGGATAGATAGGTAGATGACAGATAATGATAGATGATGATAGATAGATAGATAGGTAGATAGATAGATAGATAGATGATAGATAGATAGATAGATAGATAGATAGATAGATAGATAGATAGATAGTTAGATAGACAGGTAGACAGACGAATAGACAGATACGTTCAGGGAACAACTTGATTGGGAGCAGTTGCCTAAGATGATAAACAGGCATACCTCAGAAATTGTGGGTTCAGTTTCCAGACCATTGCATCAAAGCAAGTATCGCAATAAAGAGAGTTATAAGCTTTTTGCTGGTGGAAGGTTTTGCCTTCAGTTTGTAAAAAAAAAAAAAAAAAAAAAATGCAACATCTGTGAAGCGCAACAATAAAGCAAAGCACAATAAAATTAGATATGTCTGTACATGTTTAGAATGATTTAGAGATGGATTCTGAGTTCATGGAGGAAGAGCGCCTCAGTCTGGTAGCAATGTTGCCTACAGGTGAAGGAAGATAGGTAAAGGAGTACAAAGCACAGGTATTCACCATCCTTGATTGATTATGTATCAGTAAACAGAAAATTCATCCTTAAAAACATTATAAATATAGTGATTATAAATCACATTACAGCTTTATACTACAGCAAACATTTTTTGATTATATGAATTGGACACAAAATAAGTGTGTTCTATCAAATTTTATACTATTCCCAATTGAGGCATATGTTGGGACTATTGGAAAAGAGTAAATAGAAAAAAGTGAAGTAGGAGTCCAGAGAAGTCAAGAATTTTATGTTGATACCCTCACTTGCTCATGAATTCTACATGAAAAAATACCTTACTTTGGCGGGGAAGCGGCGGGGGCTCTAGTATCTGAGCAATAAATAAGACATTACATACTTTACAACTGTGAGAAACAAGTTTAATAGTTTTAGTGAAAATTATTTAAAAGTAGAAAACACTTCACAAGGCAAAAAATATAACTGAGTACATAAGAATTTATTAACACAGAATTCCATATTTACTATTAGCAAATTACATTGAAATTTTCATTGTGGTCATAACTAAGGGTAGATAGTAATGAGGATAATACCTGCATACAGCTGTGACTTTTAAGCACAGATTTTCTCCCTTTCTATTAAAGTATAGAAAGTTTGTGTGAAGCCATACAATCTTATAATTATTGAGAATCTTTTCTGTGCTGACTACTATGATAATTTAAATACGTAGAGTTTGTTAATGTAGTTTTCACAATAACTTTATGAGGTGGCTATTATTTCCTCATGTTCTTGATCAGGATATATAATGACTCAGAATAGTCATTCAAAATCTTTTTATTCAAAATATTTTATATCTCTAATGAAGTTTTTGCTGTCCTGTGGCACATAGGGATTTGAACTTGCCTATTAGCACATAGATAATAAGCACTAGAGATTGAATAAATACTTTATCTATTCTGGTGTTATCAAGGGTGTGGGTATAGTAATAACTACCTCACAACTGTAGTACTCAAATAATAGCAAGTGAAATTATCACATAGACTATGATGTGCAAAACAAATATTAGCTATTACTGTTATTATTGGTATATGTTGCTAAGATAATTTCTGAGTGAAAACATCATTAATAAAATTAGTTTAGCCCTCATTAATGATCATGACCAATCTGGAGTTATGCTGTTCTGAATTCAGTTCAATTTGAAAATTGAAGATAATAACTATACTTATCTAACAAATTATCTAGATTTTACAATAAGCACTGAAGCCAAGTACTGAGCATATTTGATTTAATGATTGAATTAGGTCATTCAGTTCTTAAGATAGCGGATATTTTTTTGTGTTAGTGGTTTCTAAAATTTGCCTTGGTGCATTTTTCTTATCTTTTTTTGGCTCTCTTTTCCTCTCCTCTCTCTTCCCCTCCCTTCACATTCTGCTATCAATACTGTATAATGAGGGATTCTGGTGTTAGCCCAGATGCAGTTAATTCAGCAGCTGCAATAAAGTCATGATCCCCACAGTGCCCTATGGGTAACTCTAATCATGATCTCAGAGGTTTCCTCTCTAAGAAGGGCAACTTTGTTGTATTTTCCAGGCTTACTGAAAATGCTTATGGGTTTTATAAAACTGAATTAAAAGGAACTAAGACATAATCTTATAATAAAGATTCTGAAACTTATAAATCATGTTTCATACATTATGGGAGAGATAGGTAATTATGTGTGCATTGAGAGATGTAAATTTTTGAAAGTTTAATGTGTGGCAGTATTAGCCATACTAATCTTTTCAAAATCAACTGATTAATGTAACATGATAAAATGCTTGTGTTTTGGTTATTCCTTTATGTTCTGCATTAAATTAATCCAGTTGTGGACTTTGATTTCTCTTTAACACTTACTTAATGAAAGGAAAACACAACAGTTTTTATATATTTTAGTTCAAGAAAAAATATATTTTTCCTCTTGCTCTAAACACCAAACACTAAAATATATTCAGATAGTTGAATTTATTACATACCGTTTTTATGGTAACCCATCTCACTCCTTTAATATTGATTTTTTTATTGATCTATTATTTTTTTTATTGATCTATTATGTATTTGGAATTCATTTTATTACAATTTATTTTATTTTTTTAAGTAACCTTATTTATGTACCTCAATTTATATATCTATTTTTTTAAAATAAGATACATGACATTTATTGCTTACTTTTGGCTAATAATATACAGTTACATTTTTCTATTTCTTCCTTATATTTTAAAATAGCAATTAGTTGACTTCCTTGGATTTGTAACATTTCTTGCTTGACAAAAATAAAAAATAATTAGCATTAGTATTTTTACCACTAATTTCTTAAATAAACACTTAGAAATAAAGATTAAGGGCAAAGAGTTTTTCATAATTTTCATTCATCACCTGATTTTTGAAGTGATACAAGGACAGTTTGATAGAAATTTTGCACTCTATCTTCAGTAAATAATAGCTGTAACATAGGGACAATAATTTCTTTCAGAGAGCTCTTGTGATGCTTAAAGCCATAAGTATGAGGCTTGAGTGGTTTTTGCAGCCTTTGGGACTCCAAGACAGAATTATAACCAAAATAGGACCTGACCTAGACATGTATAGAAAAGTAAACTAACAATCTCCTTGAGAGCTCTCTTTGGTTTCTAGAACCTGAGTTTCCCCTTTCTCTTCTGGCTTTGTTTTCTCAGAAAGCCCTCTGGATATAAAGCTCTTAAACAAACCATGCAGGGGGAAGTGCTTTTTTCCTCAGTATTAGATTCAGATGCAAGAATTCAATAGGAAAATACAATAATAAATGAGGAGCAAACACACTGGCTAATTTCATTTATCTTGAGAGCGTGTCATTCTTAGGTTTAGTTAAGATGGTTAAGACTGCACAGCCACCTGGGAAGTCAGGATATGTCACTGGATTGAACCTACATAGATCCTGTGTCACTGAGTATATCATCACACAGAAAATTGAACCCCTTTCCCATTCTCCCAGGCAGCTGAGAAGATACAAACCATCGTTTCTCATGGCTCAGTTTTTCATTATACACATATGTAAAGTCAGCAGCTGGAATTCAAACAACTATTTCACAAAGATGAACTTTGTGATAAAGGGGGAATCTGTAGGCTAAGACATATTTATATTCCCTGTTTTTCTCCCTACGAGAGAGAGAGAGAGAGAGAGAGAGAGAGAGAGAGAAGAGAGTAAGAGAGCAAGCAAGTGCACATGTGCATAAATGTGTCTTAGGCTGCTGATAATGACAGTTCTGACAAAACATTAATCTAATTTTTTTTCCTCTTCTAGAAGTGAATATACAATATATATATTAATATGCTTTTTTTTGGTGTTGTAGATTCTAAACCTTTATATTGTTATGTGATTTTTATATTGGAGGAACAATCTACTCATTGACTTTTTCATTGCTGTTACTTGAGAGTTATTATTTGAAAAAAAATTGTATAATATATATTATTGGAAAGAGGCCCTGAATAAGGAAACATGCATCCAGATAATCTCCATTCTGACTGTGATTATTCATCTTTACTTTCATTTTTGATATTTTTCTGGTGCTTAAAATCCATTGTTAG